CTCACTTGCCTGCATAGGCAAGAGTCAGTAAAGGGTAGAAATGATAATTTGAAAATTGGTGAGCTGGCTTTGAACTGCTAGGAAACAGGTCTGGGAATCTAAGACCACCTAGCTTTTTAATGGTTTTCACCAGTTCTTTTTTTTTTTTTCTTTTCATTATGTTTTCAATCAGAGAACTAGTGATCTAGATCGGGCGGTTCTGAGCCAACATAAAATTAATAGGTCATTATACTCATTGATCAGGTTTTTAAAACACTGGCAAGGACTATACAGTGAAGATTAGAAACAAAGGTGTCACTTTCTTTAAGGAGTACCCATGTTGGGTTGATGTCTTTGAAATCCTTCAAGTAAAACCATACTTCTTTTATAAAAATGATGGTGGTATTTATGAATATGTCAGATATTTTGAAAAGGGCTAAAGGCATTTACCTTTGAAATAAGGTAGTAAAACTAATTGTTAAGACATATTTATGTTTACAGCGGGCTCCGGGACCGACCTGATCACATCACTAATTTGCTCTAAATTTAGTTATCTCATTAAAATATGGGTTTCTATCGAATTCCAGTCCAAAGACAATTCAATCAAGAGACCTAATTTTCTAGGGACCATCAACAATGAATCTCAGCAAAATCGAGAAAAACTATGAAATAAATATACTAAACCAAATAAATGCAGGAAATAAACCAAATATGCGATAAAAGTAAATAAGTACAAACTTTCTCACCAATAGTAAAGCCTTCCCAAGTAAGAGCCTTGATCAGATCAAGATAAATATCGTCTTGAATTTTAGGTTTGGTATGAAATAAAGACCTAAGGTTTAGGCCATGAAAATTAAGGCTTCTCCTATGCAGCAATGGTAGTATTAGATGATATTGGGTTGCAAGGAAGTATTTCTATGCATCAATGGTAGTATTAGATGATCTTGGGTTGCAAGGAAAATTAAGGCTTCTCCTAAACTAGGGTTAGGGTTTCTTAGGCTCCTAGGGTTATGGTAAACTAGGATTAGGGTTTTCTATGCCTATGTCTGTAACCTTAGCTCGAATGTCTAATGCATGTGTCCAACCTAAACTACAAAGAGCTAACCCCAAAAAAGGTCTATTTATAAACAAATTACAACCTAAAACAAGAAGTCCTTCAATATGTATCAATCATGAACTGACATGTGGCAAATGCACCATGTGATGTCGAAAGCTAATTGTAGACACTTTATTTTAAAATTTGGCTATTTTTTTTATTTTTAAATTCTTAAAAATATCTTGAAAAAAAACTTAGTAGACCTATAGGGATCATATTAATCTAGTAACCCTTAGATTACCTTTTTTATAGTCCCTAATCCCCATATTAACCTGATCCACCCTAGATTACCTTTTCTATAGTCCCGAGTCCCTTCCATGATCCAAACATTCTAAAATACCTTAGATAATTCCCCAAATAATCTTTAAACCCTAGCAAATCACCCCAAAATCTAGAGAGTTATCCTAAAAAATTGTAAAACCGACTTAAAATAGAAAATTCGAGACAAGATCCATTCAAGATATGATAAGAATCAAGTCAAATTCAAGAAGATCATCAAAATCCTGGCCGCCCAAGGTTTAGACACCACGGTCAGTGGTGTCTAGCCAAGAAAACCTTGGACACCATGGTCCATGGCATCTAGACCTAGGAACCCAAAAATTTTGTTGACTAAACTCCAAGAAACCTAAACACTATGGTTCGTGGTGCCTGATCCAGTTTTGCTTGAATGCCACACACTGTAGCGTCTAAACCTGTTTAACCAGTCAGCTTACGTGGTGCCTGATCCAGTTTTGCTTGAATGCCACACACTGTAGCGTCTAAACCTGTTTAACCAGTCAGCTTAAATTTTAGTAGGAATCATTACCAACCGACGTTTGAAGCCTATATAAGAGTTATATTTCTGATTATTGAGTAAACACACTTAATCTTTAATCGAACACCTAAAAAACCCTAGAAGCCCCATCCCTTATACCTAAACCCTACCTTGCAAACCCCAATTCCAGAAAATAAACCCTAACTTAGGCCATCTAAAAACCCTACACGTCTAAACGTCGTGTTGCTGTTGTGACCCTCTGCCATCCTCTCCATCCAAACCTACTTGTGGTTCCTGTATGTGTAACTTTTACTTCATTTCAAAATCTCCTTTCTTAAACGGGCATCTACACCTCGATAATATACACCTCATACAAATGTATTTCTTATTAAGACCCTTCTTTTTTTTTTTTAATGTATGGATGCGGTCAGCCCACATATTGTAGAAATGCGAGGGTGGCAATAAACATAATTTTTAGATATTATTTTATCCTAATTTTTAGACAATATATAATCTTTAACATGAAGATCATGAATATGAGTAATAAAATAAATTTTAAATACCAAAAATAACAAGTATAATAAGAAAACATTTGGACCGTTAGTTACAATTGTTTTTAGATGGACCACCTATTTACATCATCTTTAAGATTGATGTTTTATATCTCTGGACCACATTTCCACATATTGTAGAAATACGGTCTTGCCCGCATGAAACAATTGTCCTTTATGTATCCAGTTCCGGTCGATAAAGTCTGTGTTGTTTCATTAGAATATGTTCCAAATTTTCAGTCTTATAAAACCACTCTTAAATGATACTAGTCGAATGAACCTGCTTTGTTTATGTGCTTCAAATAATAGAATATTTCTCAATTTAGGAATGCAAATATCAAATAAATAACAAATTACTTCATAGAAAAATCCTCATAATAAGGTTTATGAAGTTCAAATAATATTCATTCAAAGCAAAAAGAAATATCGAACTTTGATAGAACAACGTGAGGCAGAAACAACCTTTTACAAAAGTTTCTTCATAGTAAGTAAAGGCGTTTATAAACCTCTTGCTACAGTACAGTTGCTCTCTTCTCAACCAAACGAAAAAAAAAACTGAAATCTTACCCTTTAGAGATGAACTTGAGGTTGGGCAAGTAACAAAAAATGGGAAAAATATCAGCAAAAACATATCGTTATCATGAAAAATTGAATGCAGCTAAACAAACAAAAACGCCTATGAAGATAAGGAATACAAGTTAATGAAAAATTAGAAATATGTATTGAAGTTATAGTACTGCATGATAATTTTCACAAAAACATGAAAAATTAGTGCAAAATGCCTAAGATAAGATAGGGGAATGAGATATTGAAGAAGAGGAGAAGGAAAGAAAATGCATACTTTAGGATTGTATGGTGTAGTTTTCGTTAGGATAAAATTATATATTTTGGAAAATTCATTTTTGTTAAAAGAATAATTTCATGCAACGGTTGTATAGTAACATAATGCAACCACATATCTAAAAAACCATGTTTGTAACATTTGTATCACTCCAAATATTGCGCATATCATCCCTTCATCCCAATAGTCAATTTTCAAAAAAATAATATTCAATTTGCATCATAGATATGGTTAAAATGTGTCGCCTCTAACATTGAATCTAGATCGTCCATTTTATGAATTTCAAAATCTAGGCCTTTACAAACTGAAAACCATTTTTTTTTTTTCTCTTTAACATTGTTCATCTAATGATAACAAAGCTATCTAAAATTTTTGAAAAGAGAAAATACTTTTAAGTCCTAGATTTAAGCACTTTAACAAAATAGATAACGTTTGTTGATTGGACTAAAATAACATTGTTTACGATGCATTTTCAAATTTTGTTTCTTTAGTGATTGTTCAATTAAATGAAAAGAGTGTACATTTAAAAATTGGGATTGACACTACATGGTTTTTGAAAGTTCTTGCATTATATTGTTATAAAACCTGTGCATGAAATCTCTCTTTATATTACTATCAATTCATCTTCGCTTTCTCGCAAATAGAACTCTTTTAATCTACGGTCTGTAACTTTTTCCTCCCAAGACAAATCCCGTAATGTCTCTTCATCTCTATACAACAAAAACATTATCTTCCTTATCCAAACACTAAAATTGAAAAGATTAACACATGGAAAGTGCACCATTTTATAAATAGAAAAAGTTTATATAAGGTTGCAACCTTATATTGTTGAAGTAAAGGCGCGCCTCAAAATCTTCTAAGAGCATTTGACGACTTTGGAGAACCCTCCAATTGATCTTCTCAAGATGCATCTGGTAACAAGTTGATATAGATCATTTATTTTCAAGTGTTCATAGATCGAGCAGATCTATATCATTTTTTTAATTTTAAATTCCGCTAAAAATATATTTTCTAGCCACCTTAAGATTTCAACACCAGAACTACATCTCCAAGTAAATTTTACAGGCGCGCCTTGTTTCTACGGTTTAAAGAAAACAATTTATAGAAACCTCACCCTTTATCTATTCCTACACCTCTATGGTTCACCCTTGTCTCATTCCAATCTATATATTCCCCCACAATCTTGATATCCTAGCCTCCCCCCCAAAGTCTGCTACTTCTCGTGCATTCTCTGAAGTAGGGTTCACAGACCCATGCCCCACCCTTAATTGCAGCCCAATACATGAGAACAGATAAGACCTCGAATTGTACTTGCACCCCTCATTCATCCCAAGCTAAGTATACAAACAAAGATAGATGACCCAGATCGCCCATCTAGAAAACCGGTTCGGACAGATGGATCCGGGCCCTAATCCGCAATGAAGCCCAATGATCTGGCCCATAAAATTATTTTAAAAAAATTAAAAAAAGACTACAGAAAATGTTTAAAAATAAAAAGGGGACCGGTTCTATAACAGATCCGGCCAATTCTGCCAAAAGAATTAACTAGTTCCCAATATTCTCGCGGAACGGGACCCACCCTCAAGTTCTTGATCCGAACCGGTCAGTTCCGATCCAATTCGCTGTTTTTTAAAAGGTTCTGCGAATGCTAGAAATGTCCTAATTAAAAAGCTGGTTGTAATGATACCCCTCCATATGAACTGGGACACGTTCAGTTGGATGTCAAAAGGCAGTGATTCCAGCTATGATTGTAAAAACAAACAAAACCACTACATGAAATGTTTACAATCCAGGCTATCTTGATTGTATATAAGTTAAAAATTCATCGTGACAATAGATCAAATTATCCTTTCACAAAGGGAATGAATCTAATGCGCATATGTGACTACATTTGCTCACTATTTACAGATTACAGCCTTGCGAACCGATTATCGGCATCTTACTAAGCTCACAAAAAGTGCTCTAGGTTCAGACAGCTCATCTAAAAAAGTAAACGAACTAAGACATTAACTCTATGGATCAAAAGAGTGGGCATGCTAAATCAAACTAATAAATTGAATGTCTTAATGCCGGCCCTTGTCTTTAGAGAGCTTCTTCTTCCATTTCTTGATGGCCTTTGGGACCTTTGTCTTTCGAGCTTCTCTTTTCTCTTCTTTCACTTTTTTCTTGTTCTCCTTGCGTGCAGCTCTCTTTTCCTCTTGAGTGGTTTTTCTCTCAGTCTCATTTTCTGATTCGATTCCAGTGGATTCATCAGAGGAGCTATCCTCATCAGATAATGATTCATTGTTACCCTTACAATCTGCAATCTCCACTGCTTCTTCTGGGGCTGAAACCTCCTGTTGCTGCTGCTTCTCAAAGGGTGCAGGGTACTCATCTAGAATAGCAGGTACAAGAAGAACGCCAGAAAGGTCCTGTTTAAGACCAGTTATTGTTTGATAGTATATACCTTCTGTGTCTTTGCCACTTGTGATCATCATTATGTCCTTCTCAAAATCCTTTACTTGGTCTAACGTCCTTGGGATGAAAGACTGTTAAAGTTGGGAACAGAGATGAAATGTCAGAATCTAAGAACTAGTGAACGTTTAATTAAAAGAACATGGTTAGCAACGAGTACATATGGAACAAGTACTAGGCCCCATGAAAGCAAGCAAGAGGGCACCTTGAGTTTTAATATGGTGAAGCTAAGAAGGGTAGGATCTCTTGCAACCAGACAAACTGTGATATACCATGGTTCTCACATATGACTAACAAATGAAGCAACCCCAGATGAGTCTGCCACTACTATGCGACATTTCAAACAATACATAGATCATAACAAAGCAATGATACAAACTATCGATACATTACATGCATAAGCTGAAATTTGATTATATAAGTCAACAACCACACCATCATGTTTGATATATAGACAAATCCATATTTCTTTTATTTCTTATAAGTGCAAAGTAAATATCTGCAGGCATTCTTCAATGAACTCAGTTCAAATAATTGTATTTCTTACACGTCATGGCCCAATATAACATGTTGAAGTCCTATAAGAACCAATGGACAACTCTTTAGCCTATGCAGTATACAAGCATCCAAACAGTAAGAAAGGATCAGATAGCTCTTAGGATAGCCGAAAGAACTACATGTCCCCTTCAAGGACAACTACCACACAGTTTCAAGAGTTAACGGAGCTTGATGAGGTCAGGTAACAGTTCCATAGCATTTTATCAACATCCGGTGCACAATAATAAACTTAGCATGTTTGAGGTAAGTGCAGACTCATGGGGTGTAGACGGGAGAATATGACGGGTGCATGTGTCAAGGACTTCATAAACCAGGAGAAATTTGAGGAGAGGTGATCATGGTGTTGGGTCACAAAAGAGAGGAAGCTCAGAAGATGGGAAAAAAAGAAGGAATAATTATCAAAGGGGGAAGAACATGGAGAAAGCAGATTTCCCATAAAAGGCCTTGAGTTGGGGCATCAAATGAGGTCCACCTAGAAGCATCAGTCATTTTTTGGGGCAAAATAAAGGTAACAACTATAAGGCCCTCTCCCAAGAACCAATGTGAAGCTTGACATCTCCATCTTCTTGGAAAAGGAGTTTGCAGTTCAGGGGACCAGAATATCATTCGTGTTCACTAAGCACCCTTTTTCTATCAAATGGTGACCAGGCCTTCTAAAAGCCTTTGGCCACCAGCTAGACATGCCGTGTTTGTCAGTGATAGTTGCAGTTGCAGCTTCATAGAACAGCATATGATGGTGTTGCTCAGGAGAACTTCAAATCCAAGCTCTAACAACACCTCTTCTCATGGAGCAACATGCAAAGGGATGCGATGAAAAGGAAATGGGGAGAAAACTCCAGCCATCCATAACAACTCATATTTAAATTTTAAAGGGAGGATAAGCTGGTGTTGAGGGAAGAGTTATGTGAAAATTAAGATATAGTGTCGTTGAAAGTACAAGTCTCAATGCCTTTGTGCCGGCATGTATCCCCGCAAGGTTTGGGCAGCAACATCCTCAGACTCTCCAGCAAGAAAGGTCTCATTTGCAAATTATTTGTAAGTAATATATTTCCTTTTCCTTTATTGATAAAAATAGGAAGCAAGTTTTCTGAAGAGTAGGACTCACATGATCCTGCATTGTGATGTGGAATAATTTCCCAATGTTTTCACAGCAAGCACTAAAGCAGACACGAAAGGGATCTGTAGTCATCAGGTATTTATGGAGCAACTGTTACAGTAACAGCAATTCATCATGAAAGCCAGGTTCTAGTTCAATTGGAAGGTGTTATTTAAGCTTGCTGGTATTAGTAAATAATGTCAATTTCCTGAAACCGAGCCGTGCATTAAATTCTTGCTCCAATTGAAAATTATAGAACATCAATAGTCCATTTAAACTGAATAGTTAAGCGTGGCAACCAATTTTGCTATAATCTGATACAACAAAGTATAGTTGCTGGAAACACTAGTGATTCCGAATCGTTTCAGGAATCGGAATCACACAATTGTGGGTGGCCAAATGATTTCCATAATCAGAATTGCCGTTCGTACTAAGCTTATCACATGAAGCAGAATTCCCCCCATTTGGGAATCACTCATATCCAATAGGAATCAAGGTTCTTACCTTGTTGGAATTATGGTCCCATCAACTTGGGAATCGAGATTCCTAACTTACGGGAATCACACACCAAACCAGTTGGAACAAGGACAAAATTTATCAAGAAACGAGTTCCAAAAGGCAAAAGATTCAAGGTTTTAGATTATCTATAAGCAAGAATTCCTTAGTATTGGATTCCATATATTCAGGACGCTTACCCAGGGCTCTTCTATTATTTTTTTAATAACTGTGAACATTTGTATTGATAAAGAGAAAGAGAGATACAAGGTTAGTCCATGGTAGCCTCAGGGCCGAGGCACCTGGTAAAAAAGAATGGGTCAAAAGACCGTATCCAAAATGGGGTTATAAAGAGTCCCCTTACAAGTATTCAGCACATGTACAAAAAGTAAATGAGAAGGAAAGAGAAAAACAAGTCCAAGGCAAAAACGGCCCTAGACTGCATCATGGGCTGCTGCTCCGTCCTCAGCAAGCAGAACCCAGGGTTCTTCTATTATTGGAATTGATGTCTTTGATAGCCGTCCCCTAGCATTGAAGTCAATGTATTGAGTGCCTTTTATCACAGTTTTTGACAAGTATTTGAAACACGGTCCAGAACCCTTCAATTTCACAAAAAAAAAAAACAAGGTCCAGAACCCTTCACTTAATACTTTATCCAGAGTCTTCAGATTGAATAATGAAAATAAAATTACTTTGTTTATTAATAATGTATTTTTATGAAATAAGACATTGGAAAAAGGACAAAATTTATCAAAAAACGAGTTCCAAAGGGCAAAACATTTAAGGTTTTAGATTATCTATAAGCAAGAATTCTTAGTATTGGACTCCATTTATTGAGGATGTTTACTTAGGGCTCTTCTATTATTGGAATCGTTGTCTTTGATAACCCTTCCCTAACTTTGGAGTCAATGCATTGAGTGCCTTTTATCACAGTCTTCGACAAGTACTTGAAACAAGGCCAAGAACCCTTCACTAAATACTTTCCCCAGTGTTTTCAGACTGAATAATGAAAAATAAGATTGCTTTTTTTTTTTTGAGTAAAGTTAACTTTTGTATTGCTGTGAGAGTAACATGAAACAGAATGGGGATTCGAGAGTACCCACAAGTCGGCTTTCTTGATCAAAAATAGGTCAAAAGACCCTTAACAAAATATTGGGGCTTATAGACTTGCCCAATTACAAGAAATGTACTGGAGCGTGAGTAAACAAGAGTTCACCCATAGTGGTCCGGAGCAAAAAAGGAGATGGACCAGCGGCTACTATAGAACAACAGCAAGAGTAAGTAAACAAGGGTGCACCCACTGTGGTCCAGAGCCAAAAGGATATGGACTGGTGACCGCTATTGAACGACTGCAACCCAAAAAATTCTCGTCTAGGCGAGATCTTCTGCTAGAGCCCTAGATCCGTCTTTCCCCAAAAGGTCGGCAAACTTATTGGACATCCTCAAGTTATGCTTCCATGAGACGACCATATCCTTGCAAGTGTAGGCAATCTCATCAAAAATCGAAGATAGGTAGCACAAAGGTGGTGATATCCCGGCTGCCCTGGAAATGATATTTTGAGCGTCTCCTTCCACACAAAGGTGTGATCCCCAAGCTCGATTGAAGCTTTTAATACCCAAGAGCAGAGCCATGGCTCCAGCGAACTGAGAGTCTTCATGGCCTTGGTGCTCGGAGTAGGTGAGCAGAATGTTGCGTTGGTGGTCGCAGAAGACTCCACCTCTAGCTGAGCCAGGGTTCCCCAGAGAGCATCCATCGAAGTTAAGTTTGATGGTGCCTTCTAGACCGGCCAACCAGTTGTTGGGTCTTTGAATCTTATGTGGTTGGAGATTGAGGACGTTTTCCCATTGGCTGAAAAAGGTGTTTGCTAGTATCCAAGAGAAGGCCCTATAGTTGGAGGCCCAAAAGATTACTAATGAAGTAATCTTGTGGACTAGTACTGGAACTTCATTTTTGCAGCCTTGAAAGATCATGACGTTCCTTTCTAACCAAATGACCCAGTTAGTTGCTGCAATAGCGGCTTTCCATAAGGTTCTTCCAGCCTTCGGCCAATGAGAGGCAAGATACAAGGAGATTAGAACCATGACCGAAGGTGGGGTGACCCATTGGAATCCGAACAGCTGGATTAAGAGGCTCCACAGGTCATGTTCTTTGCTACAGTGGATGAAAAGGTGCGGGTTCAATTCCTCCTCGCTTTGACACAGCACGCACCTGTTAGGGACTGGGATCCCTTGCTTTTGAAGCTGGTCAACTGTGAGAGCCCTTTGGGAGCAGGCTATCCAGTTGAAGGTCTGCACTTTAATAGGGGCGATAGTGGACCAGACCTTGGAGAGGACTAAGATGGGGATGAGTGGCAAGGTAGGAGTCGAATACGTTTTTTGTAAAACGAGGCCACCGAAAAGGTGCCAGAAGGAGAGAGAGTCCAAACAAGAGAGTCCCTCCCAGAAAGGGCAATGAAGTTGGAATGCAGAGCTGCCGAGAGAGAAAGGAAATGGACAGTTTCCTCCACTGTGAGATTTCTTCTGAAGGAGGGGTTCCAGACTCTTCGATCCCCTGAAAGAGGCATTTCATCTGCCATGGTGGAAGCTTTATTGGAGGCAAGAGAGTAAAGGGAGGGGAAGAGGTCCCTTAGTGGAGTGTGACCTAGCCAAAGATCTAACCAGAATCCGACTCTAGTACCTTCCCTAGGATGAAAGCAGATGAATTTTTTGAACAAGGTGAGAGAAGATGTAAGATGAAAGCGAATGAAAAATAAGATTACTTTGCTTATTAATAATGTATTTTTAAGAAATTTAAAGAACTAAGACATCTATTACAAATTCTTGAAATTTAGGAATGATGTAAACTAGAATTTGTCGACAGCCATAGAGTTTTTAGATACCATCATTTATTAATTATTAATACATTTTAAATAACAAAAATCTTGAAATAATGTTTAAAAAATTCCAAGCATTCCATCAGATTTTTGGTGATCATTTTGATGTTGTCGATCTAGATTCCAAATATCTCTAATCAGTATTCCTAAAAGCTAGAAGTGAGTTCTCATATTGGTTGAATCATTGTCTTGTGCACCTGCGAATCGCAAAAAATTAGTAGAGTGGAATCAAGATTCCAAAGATACTGGAACGGGATCTAGAAAATGTAGAATCACGATTCCTAACTTGCAGGAGTCGAGATCCGCAACAATCTTTTCAAGAAATGCGGAATCATGATTCATAATTGCAATCACTACCGAGATGGACAATTCCAATAGCTATACAAAAAAGTTCCCAATTGCTGGCCAACTTCATTTTCAGCATTAAACAATGCTCCTTTCCTAAGCACTAACCAGCAATTAAAGATTGGTTATACTTGCTTCCACATTATTAGCCGAAGCCACAATGGATATAGAAATTGGTTCCAAGAATCCAATGCTAAACCTTCAAAATGAACACCCTAAAACATGCACCCTTTGTGCAGTTGTAGAACTGGTATATCGTGCTAGTTAAGGACTTTAGATATCTTTTTCTTTCACAGTTAAAAGGCTTTATATATACCAATGCAACTTCATTATTCACGGGCAAAGATTATAGATTGATTTACTTTAATCAAACATAGTCATTCCATCAAACAATCAAACACATTTGTTCTATCAAACAACTTATCAATTTTAAACAGAACAAAACAGTCTCAAACGCTAAAATAGATAAACTTGTCAAGCTTATTTCAGGAAATACATCACAAAAAAAAAAAACATTACTTCAGGAAATTGCTCAAGTAGTAACTGACTGCAATTATCATTAACTTTGTTTCAAAAGAGATAGATAACAAAAAGATGAGTCCAAATTATTCATATTTCATCCATTTAGTTCAGAACTCTGTAAGGAAAACAGCTTTATTTCAAGGCAAATTACCTGTGCAAAAACAGTTTCCGCAATCTCATCCTCTACAGATGGAACCATATCCCTCGCTAAAATTTTTTCTTGAACCTAGAAGGTTACAAACATTTATAAATCAATATGACATTTGTGAAAAATATGAATTTTTCTAAATTTAGTTACACAGTAAAGCCTACCCTGTCTAGGTAAGAGTCCACATTTTCATCTGCAATCGACAAATCAACAATGAAATCAAAAAGTTCTCTCACTGTCATAGTTGCAACACCATGCTTCTTGAAGAAATCCTGCATTCAGCACAATTAATATTATGCGTATTTCTGTTAGAACAAACAGATGCTAAACTGGTAAAGCACATGTTTTGGTTGATGAACTCACTGATACATGAAGGCAATCCTCACGTAAGAAATCCAATGCACGAGGATGATCTAGGTCCACTGATTGAGAAACATCAATAATATATAAATGACCCTGCAAATTGCCAATCTATCAAGGAGCAAGATTTGGCAACAGAAAATTTTCCAGTACAAATGCTCCAATATTTACAAATTTCCAATGGAGTTCATGTCTTGATAAAAGAAGTAAAAATGACTCACTTCGTGATAAAGTATGTTGTATTCACTTAAGTCACCATGCACCAGTTTGCATTTTTGGTACAACGACCTCATTATCATAATAATCTGTCACAAGAAAAACCTCAGGTTTATGCAAAGAATATAAGAATGATAGGCATGAGTAAGACGAGTATAGAATATACCAGAGCCATCAACAACATGAAGGAGATGGTGGTTAGCATGTTCACAATATCCATTTAAACCACTAAATCCTTAAGACAATCATGTCTAAGGGACTTTCTATTTTCGACGTTCATTTCTTTTTAAATAACTCAGCTGAGTCCATCCGATTCTTGCCAAGTCAATCGCAATGGTGACGAGGTCACGTCCCAAGTTGTCTTGAGAGTTTAAAAAGTCCGTGTACTAGGGATGAGAGTGCAACTTGAAATCCTGAGCTTCTAAAAGTTTAAAAGTAATCCTTGCATCAAATTCGGAATTGTTGGAGTAAATTCCAACAGATAATAACTCATTAGCTACCAAATCAAGGATCAGCAACTATTGGTTATTACAGTACATATATTGGGTCTTTTCGAAAAGTAAATTGTTTGCATCTATTTTTCCCTATCAATGCTTTATCTTTCACAACTAATAAGGTTCATAGTAATCTTCAGCCAAGGAATCCCGTGCTAGCAATGCCATGCACCACATCGACAACTAGAGCTTATGAATGATGCTGGCTAAGTATAAATCTATAGGTGCTTTTTCCTTTCCCTAGGAGCATAAAGGAAACATGTGAACTCATTTAATAAAGTTACCTACCATAAGGCACTGCATTATCGATGCACCCTTGAACTAAAGTACACTTCTCAAGAGATTATAAAATAAATGAAAGTTAAATTTAGATTTTTCTTTATCAGCGAGCTAAATGTAACAATATTATATTACAGAATTATTTGGGATTAAGATTTGACATGTCTCTAGAAGAATCTGTACATGCCGGATTTGAAGAGTTCCCATGTCTTAAGAATCCTAATCCAGTCTTGTCCATGTCATGCCCATGCCCATAACCTCGCCATGTATAACATCAGTGTAGGGCCTAGGGTGAAGAATCCATGCAAATTAGTATGCAAGTTGCATACTCAATGAAGAGGAATAAGGTATCACAATCGCTAAATACTTCATATCTGTTCCCTAGAATCCTCTACAACTGATGAAATGTAACAAGAATGGAACATGAAATCATGCTTTGCACCTAAAACATGTACCAAGGAAGATTCCGCAAAAAATCATTCTTGTTTTGAAACATGTATAGACCATCAATAAGGCATAAAACAAGATCCAACTTAGCTTTTCAAGTATAGCAGCCTATTCGCTATGCCGTTAGTAATAAAATACTAAGATTATAATGTCAGGAATGTAGTAATGATGAGTACAATGACAGCTGACAAAAACGAAATATCTATGAAGAAACCACAGCATTTTCTTCGTCATGAGAGAAATATTTGTCACAAACCTCCAAATAACATTCTCGTAATTTATCATCAGATAAAGCAGCATCTTTAAGGCGAGGGGCAGCCCAGCCTTCCTTTCCTATTTTAAACAGACGTTAATAGAAATCATTTCACAAGATTTATGCTCAAGTCTAATTTTTAAAATAATAAAATAACTGTAGAGTACTATACATATACACAAATGCATAAGCCATTAGCAAGTTGCAAAGTTCCACCAGTTATTCTTTTTTAATTGAAATCATTCCTATCACGATGGTTTCCCACCAAAAGGAAGAATGTGTTAAAAACAGCTAGAAGATTTTTCTTGGAGTGAAAGGAACTAAGAAACTCAGGAGACATTCAGAACCTATGAATTCCATCACTAAAACATGAAGCCTCAAGAGGTATGGTGTTGGACAATGGATTCCGGCTGCCTTTAGCCTGCAAAATGAAAAAAATAACTTCATGAACATGTAAGAGAAAGAAATATAGTAGCATAATAACAAGTAACAACTACAACAATGAAACATCTTCATTCTCACTATATACAAATTAATAAGAGAGACAATTTTGCACTCGACAATATTTATTGAAATGGTGTCCAATCGAAGAATTTAAGAACCAATGATATCACATAAAAATATTGCCTAGAGGACATGAGATATTTTCCAATCACAATGTATTATGATACTTGGAAAACTTCTCTGACATAATGGCCATGAACATGAGACAGAACACCAAGCCCTCCGCCCACTCCCCGGAATCCTCTGTGATCTCCGGCATCCCTAGCCCCTTACCGTCTCACTCTCTTCTGTCCATCCCCATCCCCTCCAACACTTCCGCCAACCTTGCCAAGCTCTTCCGGTCGTCACTGGTCCTTCCAGCCCCAGAGAAACAACTCCAAAGGTATTGAACGTTAGGCTAAGGAAGTTTGGAGAGAACCAGGCTTGAAATGCAGGCAGTTGTTTGACGGTGACTTTATTTTCTCCTTCCCCTCAGCCGTAGGAGCGATCTCTGCTCCCAGCAGCTTCTCTAAAGTCTTCTTTAAAGGCGTGACCCTTCACCTAATGAAATGGGAGGAAACCAGAGGAGCTTTCAGGAGGCAAAAGGTCTGACTCACGGCCTCAAACATCCCCCTCCATTCATGGTGCCTCGACACCTTTCAAGCTATTGGAAACGCATGTAGCTCTTTCGTGGTGGTTCACTGACAATCCCTGAAAACCCTTCCTCTAGGTTCCCTTCGTTTGATTATGGATGTCCTGAACCCTCAATCCATTCCATCCCTTCTCTAGCTTGAGGTCAACGACGAAGTCTTCGTCTCTTGGTCTATGGCCTCCCCCCCTTCTCATCGTTTTGCTTCTCCGGCTAACGGCAACGGGCTTGACCAATCCCTTGCTAACAATGAGGGTTCGAAAACTGTTTCCAGGAACAAGAAAGGTGGCAAACCCCGTCGACCCCCTTTCAGACAATGTCAAAATTTCTATCCCTGGCAGACGCCTTCTCTCGCTCCACCACCACCACCTCTGCCTCCCCCTCCTCCGCCACATTGGCTCCCCAGCCTTCCCATGCTCCCATTGATCGTTCTGCCTTGACTCCCGTTTCGACCCATATTCTCGTTGCTTCTCCAAACCCTTCCACCTCTCTTCCATCTAGCCCTCTTAGGTCTAGTCTCTCACCTCTATGCCCGCCTCCTCGTATCGACTTTGATACCTCCTTGGAAGAACCCATGCCTATGCCTGAGGCCTCTCCTGCCCTCACTTCTTGTACAAGAGACGTTGCTTCTGCTACATTCAAGATTTCTGCAACAATGGAGACTTCGTCCCAAACAACCACCATGGACCCTTTCTTCCATCTGTTTGCTCCTCCCCCCATTTTGGTGGGCTTCCCGGCGGACCCCTCTAGTGGTGACCCCATCATCATCTCGATCCCCTCTTCACCTATTCCAATACCTGTTCCTCAGCCTCTAATAGCTCTAAATCCTTTTGTCGACCCTTCTCAGGCCTGCTACCTCTCTTCTTCTCCTCTTCTCTCTACGCCTCTTCACCTCAACCACTTGCCTCACCCTATACTAACCCCTTCTCAGACCCTACTGAGAGCTCAAGGAACTTTTGCCCTTCACCCTTTACTCCAACCCCCACAGTCTTAGACCTTGCTTTGCCCTTGCCTGTCCCCGTTACCTCTCACGTTCCAACGACCTTTGTAGGCTACAGCTCAGTAGATGTCAATCCTAAGGAGCCTGTTTCGGCTACTCTTGGTGTCGTTGTTGACCCCCTAAACCCAACCCCATCTTCGTTTGTACCCTTTAATTTGGTAACTTCTCCCCTCGCCGCTCAACTCTTTCTGTCTACGCAACTCCTTCCTCTGTGAACGACCCGTTCGGCCTCTCGCCAGGCATTTTCAAGCCTACCTCTGCTGATGGACTGCCATTCGCGATACTGCCAGCTTTACCCTCCTCTGCTGTCATTGTAGGAATGGGCACTGCAGGTTCATACTACTCAGTGGACACAATGGGAGACCCACTCTCGCCCCCATCCGTGGACTCAGACTATGTTAATGGAGTTGACACTGGCCAAGGGCAAATCCGCGAAATTTTGAGATTCATCGGCTTTCCAAACCCTCCTGAAGGACCATTCACAGAGTTCTTCAAAGTTAAAGCTCAACCTAGAGTAAGGGTAAGCAAAAAAAGCTCTCGTGAAATCTCAAAATTGGTTTCTACTATCAATTATGATCGACCATCCTCTTCCAACATCTCCTTCTCCCCCTCTCACCAACAATCAGCCCCTAATGACCGGTGAGACGTTCCCTCAGGAACACCCCCCTCTCCATAACCCATTAATGCTAATTTTATCCTGGAATATCCGAGGTCTAGGTCTCCCCCACAAGAAGAACGCAGTCAAAGACCTTTGCTTCAAATATCGGCCATCTATTTTGGCCTTGCCTGAGACCAAGTTACCGTCACTCTCCCTACTTCAAGTTCGGCAGGTCTGGGGGCACTGTCCATGCCAATGGGCAGCGGTGTCAACCGAATGAGCTTCAAGCGGAATCTGGGTTATTTGGGACCCGATGACCACTCCTTGGTCTCCCAACATTTAGCCAGATTCTTGATCACTATTCTTTTCTCCAGAATTCCAAATGGGTTTCAATGGAAATTTACCGTTGTCTATGGTCCTAACCAAGACACGCTCCGACCTCTCCTCTAGGAGGAACTCAATCTGGCTGGTCAACTACCCCACCCAGTTTGGTGCCTAGGGGATGACTTCAACGTCACTAGGTGGTCCCATGAAAGAATTCTTCTACAAGGATATCCTCGGCCGTGTCCGCTTTCTCTGACTTCATAACATTCAACAACCTCCTGGATCCCCCCACTCGAGGTGCTCATTTTACTTGGTCTAACCATGCATCCAATCCGTCTCTTTCGAGATTGGGTCACTTTCTGACTTCTATTGAATGGGATACATCTTTTCCTGGAACTCATTCTTTGGCTTTACCCAAGCCCACTTTTGACCACTGCCCAATCATCCTTAATACCAATCCCTCACATAGTGGCCCCAAACCTTTTAGATTTGAATTAGCATGGTTGGAAGAACCTTCTCTTTCAAACCTATTACCGGCTTGGTGGCAGGAGCGCTCTAATGTAGTAGTTAGTTGGCAGGGTTTAAATTGCAACGCAAACTGCAGTTATTCAAGGGTTACCTAAAATCCTGGAGTCGAAAGCTTCTGGGGTTACTCAGACCCCAAATAACCTCCATCTTGCCGTCCATTCAGGCCGTAAACAATTTGGAAGAAACCAGGGCTATCTCAGATCTTGAACTTCATGAAAGGGACAACCTTAAGCTACTATATCAATCCCTCCTCAAAAACGAGGAAATTTTCTGGTACCAGAGATCCAGAATCAATTAGTTCACGAAAGGGGGATAATTCATCGAGCTATGAATGCAACCTTCATTGCTCTCGTACCCAAAATCCAAGGTACTAATCAGCTTAAAGATTTCAGACCTATAAGCTTGGTTAACTCCACCTACAAAGTCCTTGCGAAGGTGCTAGCTTCATGCCTCAAAGAGGTCTTACACCTAGTCATCTCTCCCAATCAAAGTGCTTTCATCAAAGACAAACAGATTTTGGACGGAGCCCTTGTGGCTCATGAATACATCCACTCCAGACATTTGAACAAAGACCCTGGTATCATAGCTAAGCTTGATTGGGAAAAAGCATATGATCATGTCAATTGGGAAATTTAAAAAAAAACTCAAACCAGAATGGGCTTCGATGTCAAGTGGAGAAATTGGATGAGAGCTTGTTACTGTCACCCTCACTTTTCAATCCTCATTAATGGCACCCCCAAAGGGCTCCCTTCTACCTGAGGACTTTGACAAGGAGACCCCATTTCTCCCTTCCTCCCCCCTTTCTCCCTTCCTCTTCACCATCTCGGCAGAGGGTTTTAGCTGGTCAATTGATAAGATGTATGCTGCAGAATTGTTGCACGGCTTCTCTGTGGGACTGGGGCCCCAAGTTTCTCACCTCCAATACGCAGACGACACCCAGGTCTTAGGTAATGCTTTTCCCACGAAAATCCACAATCTCTTCCTATTCCTTAGATGCTTTGAATTGCTACTGGGTTCAAAGTAAATTATGACAAAACCACTATGATGGGGATCAATGTCGACCCTACCACACTCAGTTCCTATGCTGATATTTGGGGTTGTGGAAAGCAAACATTACCATCTAAGTATTTAAGTCTTCCTCTCTGCATTGGAAAACCTAACAAAAGCTTGTGGTCCCACATTGTTGATAAGTAGACCGCAAATTAGCTGGATGGAAAGGAAGGTTTTTATCCCCAAGTGGCAGGCTAACACTTATCAAAGCAACTTTAGCCAACATTCCAGTATACCAGATGTCCATTTTCCATATGCCAGCTGCCATTAGCAAGAGGATCAAGCAAGTTATGAGGAGGTTCTTTTGGTCAGGAGCTGACTCTAACCTCAAATTCCACTTGATTGCTTGGGATAAACTTTGCCAACCAAAGAAATGGCGGGGCTTGGGTATTAAACAATTTGATATTAAGAATTTAGCCCTACTTGGCAAATGGTGTTGGCGCCTGCTTACTCTCAAGAACCAACTTTGGATCGACATCCTCAAAACAAAGTATCGTCTACATGATTCTCCTTGGCTCCCTGAATTTAGAGCTAATAACAGGTCTTCAGTCATTTGGAGGCCTATTTGCTTTACTTTTCAATTATTTAAACCCCGAATCAGGTTTCATCCCAGATCAAGGTATCGAATCCTCCTTTGGCGTGATCTTTGGATGGGCCACACGCCTCTTAAGGATAAACACCTTGATCTCTATCGTCTTGCTAGATATCAGGGGACAACAGTAGCCCAAGAAATACTACTAACTAGGACCTCTCGCTCTTGGAACCCAGTTTTCAGGAGAACTTTAAATG